CCACTCGCCTCAGCCTCCCAAAGTGCTGGGATTACAGGCTGAGCCACCAAGCCCGGCCCTAGGTCACTTTTATGCACATGAAAGGTTGAGAACCACTGCTACACCTCTAGATCTCTGGAAGAACAAGCCCCCCCAGGTAGCATCTTGGAGCTGACAGTATGTGGCTAACCCCCAAAAATGCAGAGGGAGGATTAAAGCCTGGGACAGGGCACAGGTGAGGGAGGACAGCTGCTTTGACTTTCCTTCAAGTGACATCCTTTGTGCTGATGGTGGTGTTATCTTCTTCCACAGAAAGCCATGAAGAAGACAACGGGGGCTGGTCATCCTTTGTGAGTATGGTGTGGGCTTCCTTCCATCTTTACAGTGGTGTCTTGGAGGTTTTGAACTAAGGACCCAGCCTCAAGCCAAATGGAGTGAAACCTCCAACAAGATGACATACACCCACCCAGGGCTCAGAAAACATGTTCCACCAGAGACCAACCAGGAAATTCTTTTGGTTTGGGGAGGCACACAACCTCTGTCTTGACTACTCCACATTGCCACTGAAGCACAAAGACAGCTGTAGACAATGAGTAGATGAAGGCCGTGGTCATGGCCCATGAACCTGCATTTACAAACACAGCATGGGTTAGGCTTGGCCCTTGGGCCATAGTTTGCCGACCATGGTACCCATTACTCACCATTACCAACCCTACCCCCAACCCATCTCCAAAAATGTACTCTCCTAGAAAGCGTTCAAGCAGCTTTTCTCATGGATTTAAGTCCCCATTGGTGGCACACAGAGAAAGGATTTCAGAACTGACTGTTGGCCCTGAAAAGACCTCAGGGGGTGTCCAATCCATCTGGTTTCTACATGAAAGTGTTGCAGTATCCCCTCTGAGAGTCCAGTGAGTTGTACATCCCCTCCCCAGAAAACCACATAGACGGCCACCACACCCATGAAGCCAGTCTTGGGTTAAGAACGCCATTCTGGATCACAGCCCAATCTACTCATTTCACAGATGAAGCAACTGAGCCCACAGAAGAAGAGGACTTATATCGAGCTACATGGCTAGATAGAGGCCGACCTGGGACCCAGGCCTCCTCGCCCTCAGTCGAGTGGCCTTTCTGGTCAGCAGCTGCCTCTAGTGCCTTTAGAAAGCAGGGACCAAATGTTCCCAGCCCTGTTTGGATTCTGGTTAAAGAAGGCATTTAATTTGAAACAAAATTTTTAGCTAAGTTTGGGCTTTCTGAAGGAAAACAAAGAAGTGTGACGGATTTATTTTGTATGGAAGGGAAAATAGACCAGGTTTTTTCCAAAAATGTTTCTGTTTTCTCCCAGAAGCTGAACTCTTGGCATGCAACCCGTCCTCTGGGATGAGCCCCTCTGCGGTTGGCCTTCCGTCCTCTCTGTAAACTGGGGCTTCTGTTCACGGATGGCTTTAAAGTATGGTAGCTCCATTATGTGTTCAGCTTTTCACAGGGGAACATGGGAAGTGGGCAGAGACGAAGAACCAAATCTTGTGAGCATTTTACAGTCTGGCTACCACATGTTAAAAAGGTAAACTGGCAGGCCCAGTGGCTTATGCCTGTGATCTCCAGAAGGCCAATGCAGGATCACTTGAGGCAAGTTTGAGACCAACCGGGGCAACATTGTGAGACCCTGTCTCAAAAAAAATAAAAAGTTTTTAAAAATAGCAAAAAAGGTAAACTGAGGCACAATTCAATTTTTTTTTTAAAGAGTTTATTTGAGTAAACAGTTCATGAATCAAGCAGCACCCAACCAGAAGTGGTATGTGGGCTTCCACTGAAGAGGCATAAGAGTTGTGTTTATAAAGAGAATGCAGAAGTCATGCAGAGAAAATATGTGAAGGGCTACAGTTATAAAGTTGTCTCTTTTTGGTCTATCTTGCTGGAAAGTTATAGAATTATAACCTAGTTATAGAATTATAGACTTGTTGGCTACTTCTGATCAGTTGAGCTTAAGTTCTTTTTTTCTTTAATACAGGCATTTACAAGAAATAGCTCAAGATAAGTTTCGCTTATGTTCGCAAATCAAGCAAGCTTTGGTCACTTACGAAGCCCGACTGATTTTGTCTGCTCAGGGATTCTTCAGGCCTGGCTCCATTTCAATGTACTTTAAGCATAAAACCATGCATACAAATGCAGAGACCAAAAGAAAGAGAGAAAATAATTGTTCTAGAAGCTGAGAGGAAAATCCTGTCATTTGGGCAAGGCTTATGGGGTAAAACCTGACATAAAGTCAGGACCAACTGGCCTGGGGTGGACAGGTTGAGGAAGGAGCCAGCAAAGACTGGAGGGGGCTGCCTGCCTGTGACCTTCCATGCTGAGGCTGCTGCTCCCAAGTGCCATTCCTCAGGAGTTCTGCCCACCTGGTCTTAAGTTATAAGAACACAACAGGACAGGGCAAGACAAAGTCTTTCTTGGAGTCAAGAAGGTTCCTCACATTGCCTCCCTAGTTGCTGTTGTTTTTTAAATTCTTTAAGTAAAAAATAAACACCGGTATCTTCTAATGAATCAACTTAAAGATAATCTTTCCTGAGGCACCGAGGGAGCTGTCAGGATTTCTAGGATATTGGTCCACCCCTAGGCCTGAAAAGTTGTCACCTCCTGTTGCTCCTTTCCACCTTGCCCTTGACTTTAGAGCTCTGGGCTTGTGTGCTTGCCCACTGGACTCTGACATGACAGTGATGAGCCTCCCATCACTCAACGGCTATTGGTGCTGCCTCTGAATGTGAAAGTGATGACCATTTACTTTCAGAGATTGCTTCAAAGACGGACCCAGCACCTAGAGCTTACTTTCCTTGAGACCCCAAAAGAAACAGCAATAAAATACAGGCTGAGTGCTGTGGCTCATGCCTGTAATCCTAGAACATTGGGAGGCTAAGGCAGGAGGATCACTTGAGACTAGGAGTTTGATAAGCCTGAGCCACATAATGAGACCACATCTCTACAAAAAAATTTTTTTTAATCATCAGAGTGCGGTGGTACACCTATAGACCCACCTACTATGGAGGCCGAGTCTGGAGGATCACTTGAGCCCAGGAGTTTGAGGCTATAGTGAGTTATGATTGCACCACTGCACTCCAGGGCCTGAGAGTGGGACAGAGTGGGACTCTAAAAGTCCAAAATGTAGAGTGTCTTTCCCAACAAAGCAGCTTCAAAATCAGTCAGATTTCATGACTAATAAGATGTTATTTTGACGTACTCAACTCTCAGCAGAAAGAACAGCGCAGTCCCTGACTGTCCCCTCCCAGACAAGACCCCATCTGCCTTCCAATTAACAGCCTTTGTTTATCTGGCTTCCCCCATTAGCCAGGCCTTCAGCACTGTGCTTGGTTTAATGAGAAGACATTTTCTGAGCACAGGCCACTAAGAACAGAAATGACAATTAACTAGTATCCTCCCAAACGCTGCAGACATTTGGTCTTTCTCTTAGTGAGGCCTGGAGTGAAAATGCACTTACTCAAGTCAGAGTCCGCTCTTGAATCCTATGCCAGCAGCTCCGCATTCCTTCCTTTCTTCTCTGTTGTGCGAAAAGGTAGAGAGGAAAAAGCACTTGCCTCAAAGTCAGAGACCTTGACTGAGGGCCAAGTCCACGGCTTGCTGATCTCACGATGTTGTGCTCACGACCTCAGTTTCCTCATCTGTAAAATGGGTGTAACCGTCCTCCGGCTGCCTACCTCCGGAGCTGTGCCACTGTGAGACTTGGCAGAGAGAGAGATACGACGAGGGTCATGGAGTCCCTACTAACGGCACTGACCCTGTCCCTGTGCTGGCAGGAAGAAGATGACTATGAAAGTCCCAACGACGATCAGGATGGAGAGGATGATGGTGACTATGAGTCCCCCAACGAGGAGGACCAGGTGCCCGTGGAGGATGATGCAGATTATGAGCCGCCGCCCTCCAATGACGAGGAAGCGCTGCAGAACTCCATCCTGCCCGCCAAGCCTTTCTCCAACTCCAACTCCATGTACATAGGTAAGGCCCTGCTTCCTGCTCTTTGGGTCCAGCAGCCCAAACCCAAGCCCAGCCCCTGGTGCTACACTGGAGGCCAAGGCCCCGCTTGCCCTGGTAGCAGAAAGCTTGGGTGCTCATGCCAGCTCAGCTTCTTAGTGGCTGTGCAGCTTTGGACAAGGGTCTCTGGCACGCTACGCCTCAATCTCCCCATCTGTGAAACAGAATAATAGTAGAGAAGACCACACGGGTTTGCTGTGAGGATGACTAATACTGCAAATAGTCATTTCCAGCAGTGGCTGACATAGGCATCGAGCTGCCACGAAGGGTACTTGGCAGTTATAACTCATTCTGTGGTTTATTCAGGTACTCAGACCACTTTCCTGTTCCTCCCCAATGTTGTCCAAGTCATGGATGCGTAGCATTGCCACCTGCAGACTGTCAGGATAAACTTAAAGATATCGAATGGGGTTTGACTGTAACTTTAAAAACATTTGGACAGTACTGAAGATGTTCATGGTCTCTCCGTCACTTCCTTAGCTCACTTCCTTCTCATTCATTCATTCACTTAACAGATGTGCTTGATCTCCTACTAGGAGCCAGGCCCCATTCTAAGGGCTGGGGAATTGTCAGGACACACAGGCCTTTCCTCATGGGGCTTACAGTCTAGTGGTGGTGTCAGAAAATAAACACATGCACACACTTGCATAATATAATATCAGAGAATGAGCTGGACATTGACCAGTGCCACAAATCACTAACACCGTACAATCCTTCATGCTGTATCCCTCCTTTCTATTTTAATGCCTTTCCCAAATGCTGTCTCGATATCTCATTGTGTTTCTTCCTCTTCTTTTTTTTTTTGAGTTGGAGTCTCATTCTGTTACCCAGGCTTGAGTATAGTGGCACAATCATAGCTCACCACAGCCTCAGCCTCCTGGGATCCTTCCGCCTCAGTCTCCTAAGAAGCTGGGACTACAGGCTCATGCTGCTATGCCTGGCTAATTTTTTGATTTTTTTTTGGAGATGCAGTCTCACAATGTTGCGCAGGCTGTTCTCAAACTTCTGGGCTCAAGCATTTCTCCCACCTTAGCCTCCCAAAGTGCTGGGATTACAGGTATGAGCCACCACACCTCGTCTCGATATCTCATTGTGCTTCTAAGTACCCTGTGTGACCAGGACAGAAACCAAATCTGTTTCACACACAGGGAAATGGAGGTCCAGAGAGGAAATGGGTAACTAAACTGCGAGCCCTTCATGTGTGCTAGTTGTGAAGACACAGAGTGGACAAGACAGTCTTCACTCTAAGGGGCTGACAGTCCAGTGGGTGAGGCAGTATCACATAATAAGTCCCAAAAGTACTGAATGAAACCATGGTACAGAGTTGGGAAGACAAGTGCTGAGCTGAGACTGGCACATGCCACCACCCTGGACTGGCTTTGCTCAGGCTGTGATAGTTGAACTGTGATATGAAACTGCTCTTAGAGGATGAATACGAGTTGACTGCGTGAGAATGGATGTGGTAAGGGAGAGCATTTGAAGCAGTGGGAATGGCCATGCAAAGGCCCTGGGGCTTGAAGGAGGATGGGCTATTAGAGGGGCTGAAAGTTGAGTAGTGTGGGTGAGATTAGAGCTCGCTGACCCTTGCTTTGAGCCCCTTCTCTGTGGAAGAGCCACGCCTCTCCAAGGCTGGGCATGGGGAGAGGCAAGAGAGGAACCTGGGGCACAAAATGCAAGGATGCCCTCCCTCCTCCCTCGCCTCTCTTGCCTGACAGTCTGGTCCTGGCTTCTCTCTGTCAGAGGGGTAGGAAATTGGCAGCCTGTTGACCTAGCCTAAGGACACTGCTCTGACAATCTGAGTAATGTGAGTCTGTCCAAGGCAAGTCGAGGTACCAGTTAAGAGTCTGTGATTTGGTAACAGGAATTGGTGACCAGCTCCTTCCTTATTTTTATTATTATTATTATTTGAGTTGGAGTCTCACTCTGTCGCCCAGACTGGAGTGTAGTGGCCGCTCCCAGCCACCACAGGCTCGACCTGCTGGGCTCTGGCAATCCTTCCACCTCAGCCTTCCAAGTAGCTGGAACTACAGGTGCGCGCTACCATGCCCGGCTAATTTTTTTATTTATTGTAGAGATGAGGTCTCGCCAAGGTGCCCGGGTGGGTCTCAAGCCCGCGGGCTCAGGCAATCCACTCACCTCAGCCTCCCAAAGCACGGGATTACAGGCTGAGCCACCGAGCCCAGACTGGCTCCTTCCTTTAAGGGAAGAGATAAGCAACAGGGGGAAGTGTCAGGGAGGGGACAGCCCAGGGCAGTGGAGAAGGGGAGGAAAGGGACCCAGTCAGGGATCCCCCTGAGCACTGGCAGTCCACTTAACCCCGCCAGGCAGCTGCATGTGCCTGTGTGACTGCATGTGTCTGTGTGTGTCTGTGTGCATACATGTGTCTCAGTGTGTGCAGGTGGGTGTCTGTGTTTGTGTGCATGTGAGCACATGTGTGCATTTGTGCATCTGCGCGGATGAGGGCACATGTATGCTTACTTTTCTCCAATTTTGTCTGAAGACACTCCCTACTGGGATGGCTGAGCAAATGACAAAGAGGTCACTTTGGCCAAATCTCTGATAAATACCTACTTCGATGTGTCGAGGTGAGATTGCCTCCCATGGATGGGGAGAGGAACATAAACTGGGACAGAGGGAGGGCAGGGAGGGCCGAGGACTCCCAGCCCTTGCAAGATCCAGGCTGTCGCCAGCTGGCACTGCTGGAGGTCTAAGACCAAGGTTCAGGCGTCCCTGGTGGCCTGAGCTGCATTTGTTCCTGGACACCCGTGGGCTTGATCATCACTAGCTTTGGTTTCACATTTCTGCTTTCATTTAACAGTCTTTCATCTCCACAGACAGGCCCCCCTCCGGGAAAGCCCCCCAGCAGCCTCCCGTGCCCCCCCAGAGACCGATGGCTGTGCTCCCTCCACCGCCAGCGGGCCGGACCCACTCGGTAGGCCTCCTCCAGTTCCTTGGGGTACTCTGTGTCTACTCCGGTCATTTCCTCTGCCAGGAAAAAGCAAACAAACAAAAAGCAAAAAAACTGTAAACACCTCTATCTAATTCTAATTTTGTAAGAAAAGAGTCTATCTAGGCCAGGATAATGCATGCCACCAAAGTAGCCAGTCTTTCTTTCCTGCGGGTGAAATACCACTGATTTTTATTTAATCATTGAGATCATTGGTGTTTCCTTTGTACCACAAACATATACTTCTTGTATAATAACAACTTCCCTTCCAGTGTCCATTGTGCTATTACTTCCCACTCTTTGAAAGAAGAGAAAACTGTAAAATGAACTCTAAGAGAACCCAATTAAGTCCTTGGCACCTACTGGGATCGTGTGGGCACCAGGCCTTCCTGCCTTCTGCGCCACCTGCTGGTCAATGTCTGAAATTCCAGGGACTAAGGGTTTACAATATACCAGAAGCCCAGAGAGAAAGAAGAGGTAGCCAAAGCTCTTTCCTGTCTCTGAGCATCAGTCCAGCTCCTGTGGATCTAATAAGCTCCTAAGTGACCCTGAGAAGCTCGGACTAGAGAGTCAGTAGCTGGGAATATGCTCTTTTCGCATGTCTATCAACAGATGCATTTTGCTTTTGAAATCTGAAGCCTTTCACTCATTTCATCAAGCATTCCTCACTGAGCTGCTGCTGCATGCCCGGCAGTATTCTAGGGCCTGTGGACAGAGTGTGACTGAGACAAATAAGGCCCCTGCTTTCATGAAGGTTCAGCTGGGGTTAGGGAGAGGCAGAGCATCTGCTGGCAAACAGGTATAAAAACACGGGATAGTTACGTGAGATAACATGCTGGTGGGCGGGGATGTGACAAGGAATTGGGACAGAATGAGCCCATGGTGGGAAGAGCTTGGAGAACATTCTAGGCAGAGGGAAACATGGGTACAGAGATGCCAAAGAGGGCATGAGTTTGAGATTTCCAGGAACTGCATGAAAACCCCATGGTGGGACCCATAAGCACTAGAGTGGGGATCCCAGGAATGGGTTGGGAGGGCAGGCAGGGGCAGCTCAGGCAGGGCCTTGCAGGTCATTGGGGAGTTTCAACTTCGTTCCTGATGTGATAGGAGCCACTGGAAGGCTTAGCAGGGACATGACACGCTCACTCTGCAGCTGTGCAGAAAGTAGCTTACATGAGAGAGGGTAGGCCAGGGGGCTAAGATGGGAGGAGGCTGTGGGGTAGCTCTGGTAGGCAACAGAGATGGAGGGAGTCGTGGGCAGAACGTGATGGGGGAGAAGAGGGAGCAGATCCAGACACATCTGGGGAAATGCCACTAGTTCTTGCTGATGTGCTAGAAACGCTTCTTAATGTTTGGGTCTTTTTAATGCAGCCAATACCCCCACCCCAGCCCAACCATGAAGAGCCCGGCAGAAGCAGGAACCACAAAATGCCAAAGCGTAAGTACGAGGATGTTCTCTAGCCTCCTGTACCCCTCCAGTCGCCCCCCCCACCCCACCTCACCCCCAGTCAACTGCCTTCTTTTCATTGATGCCGATCTCTTCCCTTCCAGTCCCTGCTCCTTCCATAGACAGGAGCACAAAACCTTCTCTGGATCGTTCCTTAGCTCCGTTCGACAGAGAGCCTTTCACACTAGGTGGGTATAATTCATGTTTGATACCTGGTCATAACGGTCAACATTTATAGAGTACTTCCTGCATGCTTTTCACACGCACGCTCTCATTTAACTATGGCCACAACATTATGAGAGTGATTAGAATCATCCTCATTTTACAGATGAGGAAACTGAGGCACAAAGAGGTAACTTCCTGAGGTCACTCAGCTACCAGTGATGGGGGTGGAGACGTCAACCTAGATCAGCCTGATTGTAGAGCTCCTTCTCGGAGCTCCTGGACTGTGCCCAGTTCTCGACCTGACATGCATGATCTGTGTACACACATCTCACTGTCCTTCAGCCAAGACTTCACAAGAAGACCTGGGCTAAGATAGAGGGGGTTGGGGAGTTGGTGTCTGCTGTCTAGGCTGCTACTTAGTAGCTTGCTGGCCACAGGGGTGCTACTTTTTCAGGGCTCAATGTCCTTGGATGTTCTATAAGAAGAAATTTATAAATCTAAATGTGGCCAGACATGGTAGCTCATACCATGTAATCCCCGTACTTTGAGAGACCAAGGCGGGAGGATCACTTGAGGCCAGGAGTTTGAGGCAAGTCTGGGTAACATAGAAAGACTCGCTTTTCTACATAAAAAATAATTAATTAATTAAAATAAGAATTAGCCAAGAGTCGTGGATTATGCCTGTAGTCCCAGTCACTTAGGAGGCTGAGGTGGGAGGATTGCTTGAGCCTAGGAGGTTGTGGCTCCAGTGAGCTATGATTGTGCCTTGTGACAGAGTAATACTCTTCTCAAAAATAAAAAACAAAACAAAACAAAAACCCTCTAAGGTGTTATTCCAGTGCCAGGGTTGTTTTTGTTGTATGCAGGCAGTTGACCAAAGAGTGGGTATGCTTTCCTTCCCAAAAGTTACACAGCATGTTCTTAGATTGAAGCTGCCTCCACATGGAGCTATTTATAATTCAGTTCTAAAACCTAGCTATGATTTATTGAGCAACTACTCTGGGGCTAGTGCTTCACCTACAGCAAATACCTGCATAATTGTTAATTCTCACACCAACTCAACAAAGGAGTTGCATATTATCCTCACTTCACAGATAATGAAACCAAGACCCAAATAAGTGAATAATTTGCCAAAGTTTGCATAAGTGGGTGCAGAATTTGAACTCATGTCTTTCTGACTTCTAAGTGGGTGTTCATTTCCACCTGGACCCCAGGTTTGGATGGGTCAGGAAATGAACTCTGAAACTGACCAGATAGGAACCCAGGATCCCACCCGCACCCCAGCCCTTCCTTGGCTGTTCTCTGAGCAAAGCATTTAGCCTCTTAATGGCCTCAATCCCCCGTCTGTCGGCAAAACAACTTTCAGCTCTTGGATTTGAGACTGCTGCTCCCAACTGTGTCCCTGAACTGCATCACAGCTCTGCTGACTCATGCAAAGCTGTGCTGGCTGTGTTGGTCTGGAATCGTCCACTGCAGAGAACTGTATAATTTTGTGAAATTGAAGACAGATTTGACTTAAGATTTCAGCCCTGCTCCAAACCACGAGCCAAGACATCAGAAAAGTGGAACACTGATGTCAAATCCTTCACAATCACCTCCTAATACAAGTTACCCTTTTGAAAGATTCTTTTTCTAAAAGAAATACTTTTTAGAGACACACTTGACAATTCCTGTTCTATCCTTGAGTTACTCTGTTTCCTGTGATGTTTTGGAAGAATTACTGTCTTCTCACAATGCCACATGAGACTATTCACATGCCCAGAGACTATGCAAAAATTGGAAGATTTTTAAATAAATGTATCCAGGCCAAAGGATATAAGTCTAAGTTTGTGGGGTGCCCCTCTAAAGTCAGAGTTCTAACTCAAACCAAAGTTTTATAAATAATAAACATCTTTTATACCATCAAAACCCTCCCCCACTGGTCAGTAAGCTCTCCACAGTGGGACAATATTTGTAGGATGTATCATGGACCTGGCATGTACTTCATCCTTAAAAAATAAATCACGTTGTAAAAATGTAACTCCAGGCCGACTATATCACCCATACACCTTAGGGTGTTAACTGTGCCTGGGTGTAGGAGGGAGGGAAAGAGCCCACATGGACCATGTTGAAGTCAAAGTCAAAATAAAATGTAGAGATGAACCTCTAAGTTTAACATTTTATTTTAGAAGAAAGAATTACAATTTGGGGCATACACACAGACTGGGTGGTCTTCAGTATGTCCAGTGAACAAAGAGAAGGTTGAAGGTTTTCTTTAAAAGCAAAAGCAAAACCAAATGTTATGTACAGCTCGTTGAGAAACGTCGTTGGCACTAGAAAGGCTCTGGTGAACTGGCCAGTTCTGACTGAAGAGTGATGTCAGCAAGATTAATCTTAGAGCTGCAGCAGAGTTGCGGCAACTATTTGCTAAAACTAGCTTCAGGTGGCAGCAGGCAGTTTCAGCAACCGGGCTTGCAAAGAGTTTTCTTTTTTCCTTTTTTGAGTCAGAGTCTCACTCTGTCGCCAAGGCTGGAGTGCAGTGTCACATTCACGGCCACTACAACCTCGATCTGCTGGGCTCTGGCGATCCTTCCACCTCACCTCAGCCTTCCAAGTAGCTGGAACTACAGGCACGTGCTACCACGCCTGGCTCATTTTTTTTTTTTTTTTTTTTGAGTTGGAGTCTCACTCTGCCGCCCAGGCTCTAGTTCAATGGCATGCTCACAGCCAACGCAGCCTCGACCTGCTGGACTCAGGCTATCCTTCCGCCTCAGCCTTCCAAGTAGCTGGAACTACAGGTGTGTACTATCACGCCTGGCTTACTTTTTTTGATTTATTGTAGAGACGATGTCTTGCCAAGTTGCCCAGGCTAGTCTTGAACTCCTGATCTCAGGCAATTCTCTCGTCTTGGCCTCCCAAAGTTCTGGGATTACAGGTTTGAGCCACTGTGCCCGCCAAAAGAGTGACATTTCTAGAGCAGTGTTATGTGCCCTGAGTGCTTTCTCCCCAGCCTCTCGAGTCTATTTTAGTTGGGTGGGACAAAAATGACCTACTTCATATGATTGACTTTTGCAATCACGTGCCCAACCCCGCATATAAATTGTCACCTGATTCTTACAGCCAATTTATAGGATTTTCACCTGTAACCCTCATTTTTAGAGATGATGAAATTGACTCAAAATGTTGCATAACTTGTTCAAGGTAATATATGATTTGCTCCTAGACCTAGTTGAACCCTGTTAGTAATACTTTTATCACATTGAAGACAAAGGGCATATCTATTTTAGGAGACTTTAGATAGAATACAAATTAAATTTCTTTGAATAACTTTGCAATGCAGGATTCTCAGGTACACCTGACATTTCTTCGGGGAGCCTGAATATCACCTGTTCTAAAAGAAAAAAAAAACAAACAAGAACCAACAACAACATAAAATGATTTGCAGCACATCAGGAGAATTCCCTGAAAGCCTCTCCCCTAAGTTAAATTTCCTTAAATATTATGTGAAATATTTTATTTAATATCAAGTCCTCACAGGATTGGAGAAAAATTAACCCCTTCATGGAAAATGAGTCTATCTAGGATATGAAAATAAAACAGGCTGTACAAGGAATATTTTGGCCATGAAAGAGGCATAAAATCTCAAGAAGACAGTTATCCTTCGATCATCAGTTATAGAAAGTCAAATGTTGAAGAAAAAAAAAATAACACAGAACCAACAATAGTACTTGCATTCTCTGAGCCCATAAAACTTGGTGCTCTGGAAGGGACCCTACCAGGTCTGAGTCTAATCTCCCTAATCTCCCTCCCCACCTTCCCCTTATTCGTATCCCCAGTGTCTGTTATTTCCATTTCATGCATATAAGTGAGAACATACAGTGTTTTGTTTTCTGTTTCTGAGTCAGTTCACTTAGGATGATGCTCTTCAGCTCCATCCATGTTGCTGCAGAGGACATGATTTCATTTTTTATGACTGAATAGGATTCCACGGTGTGTGTACGTGCATGTGTGTGTGTGTTTAGTCAATTGTTGGTGAGTTCTTAGATTGGTTCCATGATTTTGCTATTGTGAATAGTGCTGCAATGAACATTTGGGTGCAGGTATCTTTTTATATATTGATTTATTTTCCTTTGGGGAGATCCCTAGTAATGGAATTGCTGGGTTGAGTGGTAATTCAATTTTTAGTTCTTTAAGAACTCTCCATCCTGTTTTCTATTGAACTAGTTGACAATTCCACCAACAGTGAATGAGTGCTCCCTTTTCTCCATCACCACGGCAACATCTGTTGTTCTTTGACTTTCTTTTAATAGCCATTCTGACTGGTGTAAGGTGATATCTCATTGTTCAGACTCATAATTTCATCAAACTATGTTTTTATACATCATGCTTATAAAGTCCTGAATTCAAACCCCGTCTGCTGTTTGTCATTTACAGGAAAGAAACCACCGTTTTCTGACAAGGTAAGTTGTTACTCTGTTCTTTGTGTTTTTTGTTTGTTTGTTTTGGATCTTGGTCATATTCTCTGAGAATTACTTAGACATTCATACGTCTTCCCTACTGTCTTGCAGCCCTCGATTCCAGCGGGGAGGTAAGACACCCTGTTGCATCTCTGTGAGGGTACATGGGCAATACTATAGAAGTCAGTTTCAGCAAACTTTGTTTCTCACACATCCTTTCTCTGAACTGCACAGGCCTCTCGGGGAGCATTTACCCAAGATACAAAAGCCTCCTTTGCTACCAACCTCGGAAAGACATGAAAGAAGTAGCCTCCTGCCAGGGAAGAAGCCACCTGTGCCAAAGTAACTGTCTTGTGTTGCTTGAGCTTATCATTCAGAGAAGATGACACAGGCAACCTGCCTAGACTCTGGGTGCTCTCAGGTGGGGGTGGGCTCCTTTGCTGTGGCTTGAGGAATGTTCAGGCCTCTCAGGTTGGGTATGAAGTACTAGGATATCTTTGAAGAAAATGGAATCTAGCCGAGGCATGAGTAGAGAGACATGTGGCATGACTGCTGTCTGTGGAGACCTTATCTTCAACCAGTCACATTTTCGGCTAAGTTTTCCTACCTTGTTATAGCAAAGCCTTCGTGGCACGTAGGAATTGGACTTACCATTTTATTCTTCAATACAGATAGCGGAGACAAAATAACTGGTGAAGAATTTTAGTTCACCATGTCTTCTTTACTGCTCAGCCACATTTGATCATTGCAGAGCTCTGAGCATCTAGTATTTCCAACTTTACCCTAAAGTCATCTGGGGTCTACTTACCAAATGGCACAAATGTTTCTGGGGTCAGGGCCAACCATGCTATTTATGAAGGTTATAATCAAGGCTTCTGCTCATCTCATGTGTGAAATCAGGATTCATAACTGTTGCTCTTGCTTGGCTTTGGGAGGATTAAATCAGGGCCAGGACTAGGGTGTGCCAAAAAAGAAAAAAAGAAAAAAGAAAAGAAAAACCCTTAGGAATCAATTTGATAATATTTTAGTGTACTATTTTTTAAAAACCCAAATGAGTGCAAAATACACTAGACAAAATATACAAATTTTCAATAAATACAGGATGAGGTGATAACATCGAAGCATCTGACACACAAGAAGTCCCCAACGAATTGTCCTCCTCTTCCCTGTCTCCCCAAAGAGGACACAACATGGCCCAGGCAGTGCAGATGCCTGCTGCAGCTCAGAGGCAGCTGCCACCAAATCTGGCCTGTTCATCTGCGCCAATGGCACCGAGCCCCCTTTGGAGAAGTCTCCAAGCAGCAATATTTTCCAACTGCCTTCTCTTTACACCAAGGTTGGGCTCTGAGATGACTGTTTGTATAGCATCAGCAAAGGAGAACGTTGCCTAAAATGTTTTCATTTGCTGGAGAAACATTAGCTTGGTGAAATTTAATAGCTGCTAAAGAGTTTGTTTGCTGACCAAACCTTTTAAAAATATATACATCTATATCTAATTATTTGCTGCAGTAGCTACACAGAATAAAGCTTTGCCTAGCTCAGCTTACAATGATGACAGAACATTAAGTAACCAGATCACCCTGCCATTCCCTCTCCCGCACCTTTCTGGCAGGATTTGTGGCTTCCCATCTTCCCACGGCTCAGTGGGTTTGATTTCTCATTACTCGATTAAGTGAAACTGTGTTCTGAGGTTGACTCTTTGAAAGTCTTTATGCTCAGTTCTTTTTCTTCGCCTTAATTCATTTCAGGCATGGATGGGGACCAGACAGAAGAGAGAATGTAAGTACCAAATGTCATTTTGTGAATGCTTGGCACAGGGAAGAAAAAAACAGAACAGGATTCGTAGAGGCTGGGTCTCCATCCACCTTGGCCTTTGTTGAAGTCTAGCATGTCCACGGAGGCTTTTGAATCCTGGTGCCTCCATCTAGAGGGCCTCAGTCCATTCTCAGAGTCCAGCGTGCAGTGTGGCTTAGCTTGTCCCCTCTGAGAGCTCCCAGGGTGGCTATGTTAATTGCCCCTCTCCAGAGAGTAATTAGCAAAGTGGGAGGACAGGGCGGGAGAGTGGATAAAGTGAGGGATACTTAAAAGTCTGCGCCACACCCTAGTTCCGAAGGCCTCTGTTTTCCCTTTCAATCCCTCCATGACCTGAAAAAGAGCAGAAATAACCTTTACTAAATGCTTGCCATGTGCATGCAGCCATTCTAGCTACTTTAGGTCGACCAGCTGTCCCTGCTTGCCCAAGGCGCTCCCACTTTTGGTACCCAAAGTCTCACATCCCGGGAATTCCCTCAGTCCCAGGCAAACCACGATGGTTGGTCACTCCTAGCTTTACATATGCTTTGCATTTAATGAGGCTGCAGGGAGCAAATAGAGGCTCAGAAGGGATAAGATACACATTGCAAGTTGCACCGCTAATCAACAGCCAGGATGTGAATGCAGATCTGAGTTTCTACACCATAAGCCCTCTCTCAAGGTCATCAGTCCCTTGTTCTTGCTCAAAGGCTCAGCCTGCAAGCACCTGCTGTTTCCATAGCCGCATGCTAGATGCTGTGCTTGTATAGATGAAGCGCTGAGATATTATGGACAGGCACACCTACATCCCACTTGCTAGACAGAATACAATCATGGAATATTCCGTGGAGACTGAGGGAACATAGTGGTCTATGCAGGTCAAGGAGCCAGTGGTGACTTCTTAGAGGAGGTAAGACTTACAATGGTCATTGAATGATGTAGAAGACATAGAACGGAGTCATCATAAAAGAAAACCTCAGGAATGTCCTAAGCAGGTAGGTGGCAGTGCCCATGGAACCTGGAGGGACAGTGAGGACAGCAGCTTCACTGCAGAAGCCTAGGAACAAAGTGGAGGTAGAGTTGGACAGTGAGGGTAACATCACATTCCAAGTTCCTAGTCTCTGGAAGGATTGGTGTCATTGTCGGGAGAATGTGAGAGTCAAATATTCTCTAACCAGAGGGGACCCAAAAGTTCCCAGTCTCTAGAAGGATTGGTGTCATTGTCGGGAGAATATGGGAGTCAAATATTCTCTAACCAGAGGGGACCCAAAAGTTCCCAGTCTCTAGAAGGATTGACACTTATTGTCATGAGAATGTAGGAGTCAAATATTCTCCAACCAGAGGGAACCTGGTTGCAACAGTGTTGAAGATCAGTTTCATTGTGGGAATTTGTGAACCCATGTGTGTTTATTTATGTGACCTTTTGCTGGGCCTCCCAGTCAGCCAATTGAGGAGAGTGATTCTAACTGTGGTCCTTCTTGCCTTGTCTCAGTGCAAGTAGGACTGTGGTAGGATTGATGATGGCAATCTTTCATTAAAGAGCACTTGGCATATGCCAGGCACATGTAGTAACTAAATCCTTAAAACAACACTTTGAGGAAACTGCTTTTTCATCACCACATGTCTGGCCTAACAAAGCAAGTCCAAGTTGGCCTTTTTGGTCAATCCGTTGATGGCAAAATCATTTTGTCTCTTTGAACCTCAGTTCTTATCTGGGAAGAGAAAATAGCCCTTCCCTTGTTGATTTCACAAAGTTTCCCTCAAGATGAAAAGGATAAGCGTTATGGATGAGGGTTGTAGATGCACCTTATAAGCCACGCTGTAAATAAATAAAGTCAAATTGCTTTAAAAGAGAGGACATTGCCAAGGAAAGCCAATAAAAGACTAAGCTTTGGGTCAGACTTATTGGAATCCCTTCTGGGCGTCAGGTTTCTACTTGTAAAATGAGGATGTTAAAGTCTTGAAATGTTGCTAGGAGAATTGGATGGAATCTTGTGTATAAATCTTTGGGGCACATCATAGATATTGTCAATATTATTATGTCTTGGGGCTCTTGTAGGCATCTCAGAATCTATTTCATGCTAAGTACTTGAGGACAACCTCAGATTGAAGTGTCCTTAGAAGATTGCTTGTATTAAGAAATCATAAACCACTCAGTAAGTTCTACTATCATCCTCAGTATATTTATTATGGAGAGGCATAACTGCCAAAGAAAGAAACAGAGACATTTATTTGATTACAAAATGCAGTTTTTATTTTAGGAATTGTGTTTTGGTGATACGTTCATGTCTTTTTTTCTTTCTTCTCCTTTCCAGGATGAAGATGATGGTATGTTCAGCATAACTTTCTCATAACTTATAACTCATTCTTTCAACTTTCTGCTCAGGCATTCAAATGGAATTGCTCAGTATAGGAACCACATAGAATCAATTATAACTATTAGATTAGTATTAAGTGGACTTATGCTCATTGGTATTCTGTATACTATAGTGAAATGGAATTACTTGGTTGGATTGCCAAAGAGGTCTATTGCATTCATGTGTACCAGTGCAGATTACTTAATTGTACAGCAAAATTAAAAATTGCATGCCAGGGTTGATGGGAAAATTTATAATATTTACGCCCTCCAACACATGGGTAAAGAATCAGTAACTGCTAATGAATGAGATAGCATAAAATTTTGACTTTCATAAAACAAAACAAAACTTGTGAATCATTTCTGAAATTCATAAGGTTTAGAGTTGACAATTTTCTGCCAAGTTAGCATTTCAAAAATGGAAAAATAAAATAAATGTGTGTTATAGAGAATGATATAGAACAGCAGTGCTTTGTAAATGCATTTTAAGATGACAAGTCATCTAGAAAAATCTTGGGGGATAGGGATTCATCATTCATCCTTTCACTTCCTAATTATGTCTGCTCTTTGGGATTTTTTTGTATCTTTCTTTGTACTGTTTCTAACTGGGGAGCAGTTTTGGAATGTTCCTTAGAGACACTTGGGTCCTGAAAATCTCCTTAATATATTCTGTTTCCCCACAGTGCATCAAAGGTCTTTGCCTCAGCCAGCACTACTTCCTATGAGCTCCAACACCTTCCCTTCAAGATCTAACAAGCCAAGCCCCAAGCATTCTCTCCCATCCCCCCACATGCCTGGAGCATTCTCAGAAAGGTTTGTGACTCTGCCATTAAATCCTAGCTTAATATAACATCCATGTCCACCCAACACTAAAGTAATGTCAAGTGGGTAGAGGAAGAAAGAAATGAGTCAGTGGGTAGTGGCGTCGGAACACTTTTTGATCTTAAGAAACAAAACCAAGCTGAGCAGTAAGGGCAATGTGCTAATCCACCACTGTCCTCTGAGTCTCTGCTTGGGGCGATAGGGATGCAGAACTAACTCCCCCTTGATCACTCTGGAGAGAATGGACCCTTGGGCAAAAAAAAGGAAAAAGTTTTCACTTGGTGAGTTCAAACAATCAAACAAACATCACTAAGAAGCCCAGTCAATTTAAGTACTTGGAGTTCATCCTGCATCTTGGTTGGTGAGACTGAGAAAGTAGCTAGGAATTCATTGTGGACTGTACTCCTAGCAGGCCTCTTTTCTCAATAGCAGCAGGGCAGGATAAGGCATGAAAAGGGCAAAGACCCAGGTCATTATCCCCACACAAGTCAATGGGTGGTCTCTGGTGTCCCCCAAGGCCTCTGGCCCTTAGGGTTCACCCTCATCTTTAATATTCAAAGGGAGAAGCCCAAATCCCTCCCCAGCATATTGTAGAAAACTCAACCGCTAGCAAGACTTATCCACCTTGCCAATTATCTAGAAGGATTCTCAAACATTCTCTTTTACCCTGGCACCCTTCACCTTGATTTTCTGTAGCCTTTCTCATTCTTCCAGCTGGTGTCTTCTTCTGGCACATCTGTTGTTTCTCATACTGCTTCATTGCACACAGGCCCCAAGCCCAACCTTCATCCTCACAAAACTGCCCTCACACAAGCTTGCTGTGCAGATGTTTCCTGAAGGGTTGGACTGATGGGTGGGGAAGTTACTGTTCAGCATGGGGGGAGCAGACAACATATCTGGGGCCCTCACAGACCTCCCACTGCCACTCTCAGGAGCAGCGCCATCTAGTGCTCTCTTCCCTACACCCACCCTGGCCTCTTGCAGACATTTAGACCCTGAGGATTCACTGTTCACAAATTATATGCCCATTCATACATTTTTCTACCAAAAAAAGAAGTCCTTTTCCCAGAGGACTTATGTCATTCTCCAAACTCAATAACCTCTAACTGCAGCCATCTTTTAAAAGTAACTTTCAGGACAGGCATAGTGACTCATGCCTGTAATACCAGTTCTTTAGGAAGCAGAGGCAGGAGGCTCACTTGAGCCCAGGAGTTTGAGACCAGCCTGGGCAACATGGTGAGACCTTGTTTCTTTCTCTCTTTCTTTCTTTCTTTCTTTCTTTCTTCCTTCCTTCCTTCCTTCCTTCCTTCCTTCCTTCCTTCCTTCCTTCCTTCCTTCCTTCCTTCCTTCCTTCCTTCCTTTCTTTTTAAAATTGGAGTCTCACTCTGTCGCCAGGCTGGAGTGCAGTGGCAAACTCACAGTCACCCCAGTGTCGACCTGCTGGACTCTGGCGATCCTTCCACCTCAGCCTTCCAAGTAGCCTGAACTACAGGTGTGCATTATCACGCCTGGCTAATTTTTTATTTATTGTAGAGACTAAGTCTAGCCAAGTTGCCTGGACTGGTCTCAAGCCCACAGGCTCAGGCAATCCGCTCACCTCGGCCTCCCAAAGTGCTGAGATTACAGGCTGAGCCACCGAGCCCAGCTGAGACCTCATTTCTACAAAAAATTTAACAAATTAACCACGCATGGTGGCGCACACCTGTAGTCCCCACTACTTGGGAGACTGAGGTGGAAGGATTGCCTGAGTTCATGAGGTGGAGGCTGTGGTGAACCATGATCGTGCCACTGCACTCTAGTGCACAGAGTGAGACCTCAACTCAAAAATAAATTTTAAAAAGGTAATTTCAAATGCCCTTTAGACAGTTTAATGTTGTTGCTGTTGTTGCTTTGGCTTATGGAGTTTGTTAGACTTTAGGTCCACGGTGGAACATAGTAAAATATGTCTGATCAGTTTCTTCCCCCTGTCCAGCACCCTCGGTCTGGGGAGAAGGGGAAAGGGAAGTGATAACAAGGCAAGAAGTCTTCACAGGCTTGCTGCCCTAACTCATCACCCTGGTCCAACTAAAATTTCATTCTTCTTCTATTTCTGCAGTAACAGTTTTCCACAGAGTGCCTCCCTGCCACCGTACTTCTCCCAAGGTTTGTACTGTGGGCTCTCGTGATCTATGACCTATGACCTGTGACCTGTGAGCTGTGAGCTGCTCCAGCCATCCTGCCTTCTTGACTGAATTGCCAACCTGTCCAAAGCCTTTCTTTCTTTCTTCCTTTCTTTTTCTTTCTTTCTTTCTACCTTCCTTCCCTCCTTCCTTCCTTCCTTCCTTTCTTTCTTTTAAAAATTGGAGTTTCACTCTGTCGCCAGACTGGAGTGCAGTGGCAAACTCACAGTCACCCCAGTGTCGACCTGCTGGACTCTGGTGAGGTTTTTGCTATCTCCTAAAAGCATCTGACTTTCTTATTCAATATTTAATTTAGCATCTGCAGTATGCCAAGGGCTGTTGGAATGATAGGATGCTACATAAACTGCCCCCACACACATATGCACATGTACACACATACACATCACACATGTACATGCATACACATATACACATGCATACACTTAACCAGGCAGCCAGCCCTAATCCCTAATCTTCCCACACAGAGCCGTTCCTCCCTGTTGTAACTCTACAGAACTCAGAATAGTGTTTGACTTTCTCTGCAGTTTTAGATTTCCATGATAAATCTGCCCTTGGGTAGTAGGATAGAAAGCATGTTTAAAATACAGATTAAAGGCTGGGCACAGTGGTTCGTGCCTGTAATCCCACCACTTTGGGAGGTCAATGTGAGAAGATCACTTGAGCCCAGGAGTTTGAGACCAGCCTGCACAACATAGTGAGACCTTATCTCTACAAAAAATAAATTAATTAAATAAAATTTAAACTTAAAAAATAGCCTGGTGTAGTGAGGCACACCTGTAGTCGCAGCAACTCAAGAGGCAGAGGCAGGAGAATCCCCTGAGTCTAGGAGCTTGGGGGCTGTTTTGAACTGTGAGTATATCTTTGCACTCCAGTCTGGGGTAACAGAGTGAGATCCAGACTCTAACAAAAAAAAAAGAAGAAGAAAGAAAGAAAAGAAGGAAGAGAAATAAAAGAAAAAGAAAATATATACAGATTAAGAACTCAACTTCAAAGATTGTGATTCAGTAAGTCTGGAGGGAGGTTCAGGGATCTATATTTTTAATAATACCACCTCTGAGTAGCCTGCATTATTTTGAATAGGTGAAAATTATTTTTGAAGCCCTGGTTTCTTGAAATGTTAATTATTGAAACAACCGCAAGGGCATTTTGAGAAAGAAGGGGATGCATTTTGACAGAGGTATACAATAAATCACAGTAAATTAACTTTCAAAATGCTATACTTTTGAAGGCCCTGGCAACAGACCGCCTCTCAGAGCAGAAGGCAGAAACTTCCTTCTACCACTTCCAAGCAAACCCCGGCCCCGATCCCCTGCAGAAGAAGAGGTAAGAGAGCACATGTTTTTATTTTTGTTTATTTGTTTGTTTTTTTCCCTAGCAAGTGACTCATCAGAAACTCCCAATGAAAGATTCTTTAGTACCTTTATCTTCTATTAGCTTTATTTTATTTGAAAAAAATTAAAGGAGAGGATTCAGACGAAAAATAAGTTCTTTTACCTGGTGTTCTTTCAGACTTTTTCAATGGCAAATGTGTGTTTTGCATTAAACAACGAGAATAATAATCCTCTAGCTTATGACCTTGATTAGTTACTTAACTGCTGGTTAACCCAGTTTTTTTCCTTAAGTATGTTATTATATGAAACTAAAGAAATTACTAGATCTGTCTTTCTTGATTAGAGGTTCCATTATATAAGGTACACTTATCCACAGGTCCCTTTGAAACCCGAGTCATGAGAAAAAGTAGTTCATACAAAATATCCTCTATTTAGCCCTACTCAAATAATTCTGTATTCAAATTAGGAAAACAAATGTTTCAAACCTCCTGGAGTTGAGGTGGTGGTTTATGGAAATTATTACTTGGAGGCTTTTCTTTTCACTTGCATATGTAACTGCAAAATTTATTCAGTTTTAAAAATTTACATTTTCAGAATTCATTAAATGAAGAGTGGTACGTTTCTTATATTACCCGACCAGAGGCAGAAGCTGCTCTTAGAAGGATAAACCAGGTACTGTGCTATAGTTTATTTTTAAGTAGTTATAAATATTAATGGAAGAAGAAGAAAGAATTAACTTGTATTAAGTACCAATTATGGGCTAGGAACTCCACCAGGTGCTGTTGCTACTGTAATACCAGGAGACCCATTAGTGCCAGCTTCACAAGTACCTGCATCCTTAGCAGATTCCTAGGGTCAGAAAGCATTTGGCTGGCAGAAAAATCTAAATTAGGCAGTCATTTGTTGGCAGAGTCTTAGGAAGTTTTCCTAACGAAAAGAGCCCGTCTTGTCATAAGAATCATTTAGTATCAGAAGGAGACTCTCTTTGCCCAGATGTCCAGCATGTTCCGTCTTGCTCTTACCACACAGTTGCTGTCCACATCAATATGAAAGGACCAACATTGAAAGAGAAAACAGCAACGTTGTGCCCTTTCCCCTGGATGTTTCTAGCTAGCTGTTTAGTATTATAAGTTTTTAAACAGATTTCCTTTGGCTCAATCAATGCCAAACCTTCTTAAATCTACTTATCAGAGATGGGAAAAGAGTCTTCATGTTTCACAACTAAAGTCTATAGCAGTAGTTCTCAACCTTAACCTCACATTGAAATCACCTGGGGAGCTTTTTTAAAAATCCTGATTCCTAGGTCTTACCTGGAGACTTGGATTTAATTAATCTGGGGGTACTGTGTGGGTCCTGAGAGTTTTCAAACCTCTCCAAGTGATTCTAATTTGAAGCCAAGATTTGAATCACTAGTCCAAAAGTCTGTTTGTTTACCAGAGATGTTCTGATTGGCTCAATTAACTTGAAATTAAAATGAAAACAAAAACAAAGGAAAGTCATTGCAAATTTATGACTATTTGTAGCTTAAAGGAGTTCATGCTAATTAATTCTATTTTAATATGAGATCTTTAAGGTATTAATGTTATACAGCAGAATTTTTTTGCATGGACATTTAGAGTACAGGACAAATTACAACACTAGTGTAGTAAATATGAAAAAAGGATAATAAGAACACAGATGGTCTGCGTTCAATTTTCTTCAGGTTTCTGATGAATGAAATACTATATCCAGAGATCACAAGGTTTTAAAAGTGGTGAGTTTTATAGGCATTTAAGTGTTTTCTGACTTTGGATGTGAAAAAGAAAAGTTAGGGAATTAACTCACAGGAGAAGGAAGATTCATCTTGAGTTAATCAATAAAGTCTTGATTTCTTGTAGCCCTTTATCCACTCAACCACCAGTTATTTGTTTTATTACTGAAAAACGATTCCTTTTTTATCAAGAAACTTTAGAGATTGACTTGGAAATTTCTCTGATGCAATCTCTGCTGCCCTTTTGTTTTGTTTTTTTGCTTTTTTTTTTTGAGTTGGAGTCTCACTCTGTCGCCCAGATTGGAGTGCAGTGGCTGCTCCTGGCCACCGCAGCCTCGACCTGCTGGGCTCTGGCAATCCGCCTCAGCCCTCCAAGTAGCTGGAACTACAGGTGTGCGCTACCACACCTGGCTAATTTTTTGATTTATTGTAGAGATGAGGCGAGTCTCGAACCCACGAGCTCAGTTAATCCACTCACCTCAGCCTTCCAAGGCGCGGGATTACAGGCACCTATGTTTTGATAACCAAAAAATTCATTACACAAGATCTGTGGCTGTTTGGGGAACTGAGTGTTCGTTGACTGACAGATTTGCAATCAACAAACTGCAACTGATAGGTTTTGCAGATCCCTAGAGGCTCGTCTGCTGCTCTTACAGGCAACGAAAATATTGACTTTTACTGCTCCCATAATAACAAGAATTTATCCTTTTAGGATGGCACTTTTCTGGTTAGAGACAGCTCTAAAAAAACAATCACCAATCCTTATGTTCTCATGGTATTGTACAAAGACAAAGTTTACAACATCCAGATTCGTTATCAGGAGGAAAGTCAAGTTTACTTGTTGGGAACTGGACTCCGAGGGAAAGAGGTAAGGATTTCAAGTTTCAGTATTTCCCCCAGTTCTCTCTCTCTCTCTCTTTTTTTTTTGAGTTGGAGTCTCACTCTGTCACCCAGACTGGAGTGCAGTGGCCGCTCCTGGCCACCACAGCCTCGACCCGCTGGGCTCCGGTGATCCTTCCGCCTCAGCCTTCCAAGTAGCCGGAATTACAGGCATGCACTACCACGCCCAGCTGATTTTTGATTTATCGTAGAGATGAGGTCTCGCTGCCCAGGCGGGTCTTGAACCCACGGGCTCAGGCAATCCACTCACCTCAGCCTCCCAAAGGCACGGGATTACAGGCTGAGCCACCGAGCCCGGCTACCAGTTCTCTTTTTGTGCCTCTTTGCATGCCTCCAGGGAGTCTCCCTGTACCACTCTTTGGGAGTTCATGGTATGCAGCAACTTTAGAGTTGAATCACATTAGTATTCAACTAATGTATGTTTTGGCAGAGAAATAAGGCAAAATGTTTATGATGACTACCTCTGCCATAGGAGTCTTTCTTGTATCTCTCTCTCTCTCTTTATTTTTTTTGAGTCAGAGTCTCACTCTGTTGTCCAGGCTGGATTGCAGTGGCACCATCACAACTCACGGCCATTTCAAACCCCTGGGTGCAGGCAATGCTCCCACCTCAGTCTCCCAAGTAGCTGAGACCACAGGTGTCTGCCACCACGCTCAGTTTATTTTTTGTAGAGATGAGGTCTCACTATGTTGCCCAGGCGGGGCTCAAACTCCTGGGCTCAAGCCATCCTCCTGCCTCGGTCTCACAAAGTGTTACCAGTGTGAGTCATTGTGCCCAGCCTCTTTTATCTTTCATGTATAACTTTCTAAACCATGGAAAAAATGTTGGCATTTAAATTTTAAAATCCCATTTAGAAGGTGTCAGAGGCATGTCCCTGCTATTATTCACCTCTATAACATATTTTAATGTAGATTTCAGTTTACCTATAAGGATGTATTTTAAATCAACAACACCTGGGGAAAGGAACAAACTAGAATACTTGATGGTTATTTAGATACTTGGGTCATTTCTCACTATAAATAGAGGTTTGGCTCTGTGAATATGGCCATATTGCCAAATACATTTTTCTCCATTAGGCCCAAGCTTAGATTCTTATACCAGTCACTTTTTGAGTGGCAATCAGAATGGCAGTGAGAGAAACTAATAACTGAAGTCAGTGCCTCAAACTTGCTCTTCAGATTCAAAGTTCCTAAAGGACCAGTTGCGTCAAATGTGCCCAGAATGAGAAACACCTTACTCATAACTTCCCCTTCACTTCAAGTACTTTTAAGTTATGACAAAGTTACTGAGTAGAAAAACCACAGGATTGTGGTCAAATGTTAAAATCACCTGTTGGTTGTGGACAGAGCTGCATAGACTCTCTAAAAGCAGGTCTGCTCCTCCAAGCTTTTCTCTTGTTCTACTGTGGAGTCACTGCAACTGCCGTGGAGGGAGACACCTAGCAGACAAGTCTCAGAGGATGGGCATCATCATGTGCAGGGTACCTAGGTGACTTCTGACCCATGTCTTGAGGATGAATGAGGCTTTTCCCAGTTTGGCTATTTGGCTGCTGAGCCCTTGTAAGTGTAGAGGTGGTAGTGGGGACACAGCAGAGAGGTCATGAAGGAACCACAGTGCCATACTATAGATCCCAACTCTAGACACCTTAAACGATGTCTCACCTCCTGATTTCTTAACACTATTAATGACCGAGAGTGAAGTAGGGATACAGAAACTGAAACTAAAAGCTGAATCAAAGAGAAGAGGTGAGGGTATCATAATTAGACTAGGGTAAATGACCCCCTATATGAAGTTGTATATATACATACAGAACATTACACACACACTCAGACGCATACACACATATACAAGATACACATATTTTATCTTTTCTCCATGGTTGGATGTTTGTGAGGAATTTTTCAAAGTTCGATAACAGAAATCATTAAAAGATTTGCCATGTTTTACAAGTTTTTTCCCCACAGTCTTCATAACCTAAAGTGGTAGGGCATATTATGCAGATTAAAAACTGAGGGTGAAATTCACGCTATCCATTGCAATGTTGATTTACCTCCCTATTTTGACTCTCTCAGGACTTTTTGTCGGTGTCAGATATTATTGACTACTTCAGGAAAATGCCACTTCTGCTCATTGATGGAAAAAACCGAGGTTCCAGATACCAGTGCACATTGACGCACGCTGCAGGGTACCCGTAGCAAGTTAGCCAAGTAAATGAACCTTTCTCCTGCCTTTGTTGTCAACGCAGGAAGATCAACCGACCCTGGTCAATGGACACTTAGGACTGACTTGAATCCCTCGCCAGGAACACAAAGGTTTTGTCATTTCCTTTAAGAAATGTTTGAAGTGAAGACTGTCAAATATTCCATAATTTATTTATTCTTCTTTGATGTTTGTAAAGTGCATGAGTAATAATTTTCACACTTTAAGTCTAGTAGTGCACTATAATAATTCCTTTTTTAAAAGATGTGTATTTTTAATATTCATTTCAAAGTATAGTCGTTTACATAGATACAGAAATAATTTGGGGCAAGTTTACACTGAAACAGTGATAGCTATTAGTATCACATAAAACTGATTTTTTAAAATAGCCGAATCTGTCAGATGCGTTCATTTTATAAATGTAATTTGAAAATTACTAAAATTTATTTTCTCAGCAGCAATAACTTAAGAAGCTTCAAAAATATAATTTCATTCTTTTTTTTTTGCTGGGGGGATTTTTATGTACTGTATAATGAAAAGAATAAATGCATGTTGGGATAACTTCTGGGATTAAAATCGGACTTTTGCCTTAGAGTTCCTGAAACAACTTTAATTTCTTTACTATTTAGTCCATACCATTATGCTTTTGTCTTAAAGCAAATTTAAACTAAAAATGCCAAAAAAAAAATTTAATTTAGAGATGAGGGGTTTACACCTAGTTTAATGAGTGTTAAGTTGGCACTCCTTCACAGTTTCACACCCATGGCAACATCAAATCCCCTTCACCTCCTTCCAACTCCAAAAGCATTGTTCAAGGATGTAGAGTTTACCAAAGGAAGATAAGGGAGCAATGCTGATATGTAAAAAACTTGGACTAGACTTTCCTGTTAGATGTGGCTCTTCTCTCTCTTGCAGTCCCCAAAAGCTCTGCCATAAAGCTCCATCTTCTCATTTCTCAAACAGGCTCTAAAATCCTTCAAAGCAATTCAGCTGTTTCCTTCAGCTTACAGATCTCACTTAGCAAAACATAGTAGGCATCAGGTAAAAAGCTGACATTCAGCAAAACAGTGACAACTGGTAGTTCTACAAATTTTTCTCTTTGGGACTTTGGTTATTATTGCACAACCATATTAACAAAAGTTTTTGGCCTAGAAAAAATTTTTTGAATGGAAAGGAATATCTCACATCCTCATTTCATGAGCTTATAAAAGGAGCACTGGAAGGGACCTAAGAAGTCATCAAGTTTAAACTAATGATAGGCTAAGATAAAAGTTATGTGAAATATAGAGACTTTTTAACTGATGATAGTAAAAATGGTGTTTCACAAAACCTCCTCCTTACAAACCAGAACTCAACTTAAGGTCCAGGACATTGAAGTTCTAAGGCTGAAAACCTGTACTGATTTATATATTTATCTGATAGTATAGTCAACATATATTTATTTAGTGGCTGTTCTGAGTTAAAACACTGAGCTAGGTGCTAGGCGCTGGGTAGTGAGGATAAGCAGACACCCCAAGTTCTGTTATGGAGTGAGCTCAACTTGTGTCCTACTTCATGGTATTCTATCCTTTATGTTCAAAAACATCTAAGATGAGGGACACGATAGATTTCAAAGCTATCATATGGTAATGAATCATGCTTATTAGGCAAACGAAAGCTTATTTTAAGTCTCTTAAAGGGACATAAGGATAAAGGTGTTCTATTCCACTGCAATGAATAAAAAATCAGTAGTAGGAAGCTGTTTTCACGACTAGCATTTTCTGTCCCTTTCCTCAAACATCAACTCCATTTTTTTTGGGCTGGATCTCGCCTCTTTTGGCCACAAGCCTTATGTATGACACCAGCTGCACCAACCATAGTTGCTCAGGACCTTACTCAGAGATAAATATCTTACCAAATCTGGATCAATCAGGGTACTTTCTCTGGAATGCTAAACAAGAAGACTGAGACGGCATCTCTCTTTTCTCTGGAGTTCCCAAAAGGCAATGCTGAAATTGTCTGCTGCCCTGATTCTACCCACTTCTACCCATTATCTGGAAGAACCAGTCTGTAATAAGAGAGAATTAGGCTAACACACAGAAACAAGAGTATAAGAGACATCAGAGAAATTAGTGGGGTCCCTGAAATCTACTCAAACCATTAACTTTCAAATCACATGACCCAATAAGTGTTTCAGCAGATTGGAGTTGTGTTTGGCACATGCCACCAGAAGAGTTCTGATTAAAATAAATTCATACCAACCCATTTAAATAATGAGTAACTCTCTTTCAATCTGAGCCAACTTCAAGCATAAGATTAAGGATAACCAGTGACCCATGGCCAATTTCGTATGTCATACTCTTGCCATTAGTGAAATAAATTAGCCGTTCTTTGAAACATTAAAACAATAATGAAGTAGACTTCAAGGACATGAAATGTTTATTTACAACTTAACATTATTTTATTTTGTTTTTAATTATATTAAATATATTAGTAAACTGAATTTTCACAGATATTTGTTAATTCAACAATGAAAACAGTTAAATAATCACAACAAACAAAGAAGAAATCAGACAGAAAAACTGTCAGAAGCAAGGGATACATCTGATATTTTAGACTCTTCAAACGGGAGGTTGTTTTTTTCTGTTTCCACTAAGTCTTCTGTCTTCACAGGATGACTCAAATGAAGAGTAAGGTCACAAAGCAGTAAATAAGTGAGCTCTGTATAAAACAAAACAACAGTGGATATTATATTGTAGTATATATGTCATAAACAACTATTATTGCTTTCTGTAGCTATTTCACAATTCTTTAGTTTTTTAAAGTAATTATTGATCAAACCACAACTTAAGTGTATCCCATTTTGACTTAAAATCAGATTTATGTAGTGCAAGCAGGACATAAAACACACTAGAAAGACTCTTTAGCCCAACTACTCAGCTATTTTACTAAAAAGTAACTTTGTGCAAATTTTATTTATACACTTTAAACTTATTTTTATCTAAGTTATACATGCACATAGTACAAAGAATCAGAAAGGTCTATAAGTTATGTTACAAAAGATTGCAGTTCCTAGCTGACAGAGACAAAAAAAAAGTTCACTTTGGTTTAGTTGCTTTTGTTGCCTCAATGTGTCTGTGGGTTCTTTTTGGGTGTTGGTGGGATGAGGGAGGAATGTGTGTGAGGGGGGTGTGCTGGTTATTTACTGACACATCTTTAAATAACATGCTTATTAGATTTTTTTTTCTTTCAACTTTTGGTATTTGCTTCTGACAGAAGATTCACTCACCCCTTTTTCTCTCAATATATACCTACAAGACAATTTTTGCTAGCTCAATATTTAATGTTAAATGTCCACAGCTGAGTCTTATCATATGCTACTTCCCTTCCTGCAAGCTATCCCCCCAGCCACAGTTTTTTTCATTGCTTATCAGGAACATATTCCAAACGTTGAGTAAGTCTCTTGGTTTTTTTTAATGCCTTACCTATTCTACTGCTGAAAATCTCCTCTCTCCTGGAGCCCTCTGATTTGCTCTATTCTGGACTGACTTCTCATTAGGACTGCTTTACAGCTTGTGTCTTGGGAAGCCCCTTCACCATCATCCTAAGGACTCTTTTCACTCCTCACTTCTGTGGAGTGCCCTTTTCCCAGAATTCCCGTCTGTTTCTTTTTGATCTGTTCCTGTTGGAACACAGCCTCAGTAATATTCTGAGGCAAAATTACATGTCTGAAAATTTCTCTCCCTACATAAACTCAATTAGTAGGTTGACTAACTATAGAAATCTAGATGGGAATCATATCTCTCCAGATTTCCAAAGGAACTACTGTATTGTCTTCTAGCTTACAGTATTGGTATTGAGAATTTTCCTATTATTCTAATTTTTCATCCTTTTCTTTTTAAAGTTTTACAAATCTTTCTGTTCTCCCAGTATTCTGAAAACTCAACAACATTGTGCCTTGTGTGGGTCCATTTTCATTCATTGTGTTGGGTTTTTTCATTGTAGAAACTCATGCTCTGGGATAATTCTTCCCCATCTATTGTCTATGTTCTCTAAGAATCTTATTTGTTGGATATTGGACTTCCAATCCTCCCACAACACACACACATACATACATACATATGTATATATATCCTGTTCCTTTTTTATGGATGCATCTTACTTCTCTGTGGAGAAGTGATATTAATGGTAATTGATTGAAGTTTTCATCTCCCCTCTTTGTTCCTTCTTCATTGATTGTACCTATTTGTTGATTTTGTTTCTGCTTTTCTTATTAGATATATTGCTCAAATATCTGTTGTGCCACAGTTGTTTGCTCATATTTAAGACTGTGGCACTAAAAAGACAATTGGAAGCTCTGTGCCCTTGGTAGTCAAATATTGCAGAGTGATCTGGCTGGAGTTATTTTGTTGGAAGAATCTCTACTCTCACTATCTTTTGGTTTTTCTCTTAGGCTGGTCATCCCGAAGAAAAATCTTCTTGGAGAGTGTAAATCTGGCTGCTGTGTTTTGGTAGCCCCATGAGGAAAGCTAGAGGTCCTGTATCAGTATGTAAACATTGGTTCAATATCCTTTTTAGTACTCTCCCTCAATTTGTGGCTGGTGGCTCCAGGCCAGAAATCCCTTTTTAGCCTCAAGTGTTCTCTGTCACTGAGAAGGGATAGTTGCCTAGCTATGCAGAAGGCAGAAGAAACCTCAGGAATCTACAATTCCTTAAACATTCAGTCTTCTTGTTTTTAGCCCCATTTCACCCAGAGGATTTTGGTGCTACCATGTCTTAGGGGCAATTTTTTTTTCTTTACCCAGCCAGCTTAGGGTTCAGATTTTTGAACTGTAGAGTTCAGATTTGTCTGTTTGCTCTTCTTTACTTTGTTTTGTTACCCTTTACCCTTGTGGGTTTTTGTCTCTTTAAAGTCACTGAAGTTTAAATTTCAGGTCTATAACTGACCAGTTGCTTGACCTTGAAAAACAACCTTTCGGTGTCTGTTTTCACATCTGTAAATGCCAATGGTAACAGTTCCTACTCACAGGGTAGTTAGAACAATTAAGTGAGTTCATTTATGTAGAACTCTTAGAAGAGTGCCTGGATTACAATAAGTGCAGTGTTAGCTGCTGATATTATTTGGGGGAGGAAGTGAGGGTGTGTGGAGTGTTCACTTAATCCTCTGTATTTACCAGAAGTCTACCCTCTTAAATCTAGCTTTACAAGTACTTCACCCTAACTGCTTCACACTTCTCAGGAACACATATTTATTATACTTTATGAAAAAATACTCCCCAAACTAGAACAATTAGAGATTCAAGTTTGGGAGTCTTCTAAAGCTGCTTTTATTATTTTAAATGAGTTAAGGATCAGAATGCTTCAATAAATATTTTTCAAAAATCTAACCTATCAAGGCACTGTGTCAAGTGCTAGAAATACCCTTAAAAAGCTTACAGTAGAGGGATAGGAAAGTTAAGTAAATAGGCAATTACAAAACAGTGCTAACAGGTGAAAGGCAAGGACAGAAGGGATAATATGCTGACTCAAAAATAGTTTTCCAATGTAAGGGACTAATAAGTAGCAGTTAACCTGGCATGGTGAAGGGGGTGTAGCACTGCGATTTCAGAAGATGTGTGTGTTGAGATACAAAAGAGAGCATCTGTTGACACGCAAATTGTTCAGTAGGCTGAAGCATTAGAACATGAAGGGAGAAAAGGATAAGAGACCCAACAGGGAGGCAGGGTGATCTCAAGAAGTGACACAATCCTTTCTAAGAGGTGTGGACTTTATGCTGAGGACAATGGTGAGTCAATTTGCATTTCAGAAGGAAAATCTTCACTGTAGTGCTGAGACTGGTTTTGAGAGATGATTAATTAAAACTAATCAGATTTCTTTAGACTCGAGTCTTTAATATGCACTATGAGCTGTAAGAGAAATATATTGCATAAAGCACTTCCCAAACTTATCTGGTCATAAGAAAATGTACTCTGTTTTATTGCACACCATCAATTAACATCTCTTGATGTAGGGCTCACAGATCAAAGTCCGGGAAATGCTGTTCTAGGGAGAACTAGTGGAAAAAGTATAACAGGCACTCACTATTTGGTGCCTTAACTAACAGTCACTGCCCTCTTCTTCTTGGTTGCACAACTTGATTTCATTTGAGGTGCTCCTCTCCTCAGCTCCAGCAGTAAGTTCTGACTGGTCCAAACTGGTCTTGTCAGTCCCAGTGCCCTTGGCTTTGGCTGCTGCTGCTGCTGCAGCCATCCGCTTGTGATGCAAATCTGGCCAATGAAAGGAAAGGGGAAACGCACTGGAGGGATCAGGGGAAAGGTTTATATTAAAAGACATAGGCAAGATTTAGTGTCTGTATGTGGCCACTTCTAAAGGTAATGACCATGAGGAGTGATACAGAGGATGATATGAGCAGAAAGAAAGAACCTGGCCCCTGCTGAAAACTTCAAATCTCTGAATTAACTTGCCTTACCTTGGATCTTCTCATTCCTTATTGTATAAGTCATGCTTAATTGGTATTTTGCTATTTATAGCTGAAGATCTCATAACTGACACAGAGGCTACCTTAAGATATCCAAGAGCTGTTATAAAAAGACTAACTACATATTCAGTGTAGTTTTAATAGTTAGAAATAGGACCCTTAGATGAAACGAGTAGGGAGACAGATTTCAGCTAGTACATAATGAGGAATTGTCTAAAATGGAATGGGTTGATTGATGAGATACAAAGTCCTCCAATATAAGAAATGTTTGGTTGGGTTTAGACTATTCCTAGAAATTCTCAATTATCTCCAGAAATAACAGAGATTATATGTGTCTGAGATAAAATAACTGAATGTCTGTGAGGTGAGTGACTAAACATCACAACCTATAAGATCTAATCCCATTCTATGAATCTCTTCAAAATGAAAAAGCTTTAACTCATAGAATCACATTTATACTATTTAATTTGGAATGAACCTTAGGGGTTTAGTAAGAATTAATGAATAAATACAATGAATTTTACAGAATGTAGCATAGTCATGTAATAGTGTGTTGAAGGGAAGTAAATTTAGAGAGGTTAGACAATATGATAAGCTTGCTTGTATCCGGAATGGGAATTCAGGTCTGCTAACTCCCAAGTCAAACGTAATTCATCTTTAGAGATCTAGTTCATACTGCATTGCAAACATTTCTTAAGAAATAGAGAAATCCTAATTAGTGGACAAAATTCAGTTGTACTCCAGCAGAAGCCTAAATTATCTCTATTTATTTTATAACAATGGCATGCAAACATTTTAATTTAGTGATTCAATACTTACCTTTCATCTTCTTCAACTCCAAAGAAATTGTATTAATGTTTCTAATTAAGGATTCCACATTTAGCTTATGATCATCGTTATTTCTAAACATCTGATTTTAAAAGAAAAACAAAAACTATGTATAAATCATAAGTATTTGTGTATGCTTTTAAAATAATTAAATTTTCAATATTTCTATAAGAAAAAATCAGTTAATTCAGGACTGAAATAATTACAAAACAAGTTTTTATAGATAGACTTCTAACACAGAAAGGCATCAATTTGCTATATTTTTCCAAATGAAAACAACTCCAACTGGAATTCTTAGGATGAGACTTCTTCAGTCAAACCACATCCACAAGATGGGGTTTACATTACAATTATGTCTCCTTTTCAGAAAGACTCATCACTTATAAACTACCTTGCATTTGTCTAAGATCTTCTCTAATTTTGTTAAGGTGAGTCTGTCCTTTTTTAACATGTTCTTGATTAACAGGGCCCACATATGACTTCAGCACCCAGTGACACTCAAAACAGGATTCGATTATAATGTGTTAACTAAGAGGATGGCAAATGGCTACTTTAGCTTTGGGTAACACATTTTAACTGTGGTTAACTGAGATGTATAAATCAACACATTCCTGTTATACACACAGTCCGCGTATTTAGCCAATTGTGTCAGATCCAAATATAGAGAGGTGGTTCACTAGAAACATTAAGCTGTTCAAACTTCTCAAAATGACTTAGAAAATAAACCTCGATTAGCACACACAGCTCCAGCACTGGAAACGGTGGGCAGCTATGGGTCAAGCTGCTTGTCTAATAAAACACACTCACCTTGAAGTCAGTTTTTGCCTCGGTCTTTTCCTGAACCGGGGGGATTTACCCAATTTCTCCCACTCACTTCAGAGCCACTGTAAAAGTAAAATAATTCGGTTTTCCAGACACCAAGGAATAAAACGCACTTTGGATCCACCTCCAAGCCCCTACACCCTAAAAAGGGGATGTCAGCTATCTTGCTTGGGTGTGCTAAGCCCAAAGACTCGGGGCTTGAGGGAAAAGGAAGGACGGTTTTTTTAAAAGCGGGTAGGAGTGGGGTGGTGGAATTAAAGAATTAACAGGAGGAAAAATTAGCAAGTGTTGAGCAGAAATCACGCGACCGGGGAAACGCCCAAGATGGTGCTCTCTCCCGCTCAGGGGTCGGGGACCAGGGCCCTCCAGCCCCCAGCGGGTGGGGTCGGGACATAGAGGAGTACAGACCCCACTGTGCTGGGTCAAGCCTCCTCGGGGGAGCTGGGCCAGACCCTTCCTCAAGGAAAGGAGAGGCCGGCCCACAACTCATGGAGGACTGGGAGGAGCAGGGACCGGGCTCTGGGGCCAGGAGTAGGGGATCGAGATGCCACAGATTGGGGGCACGAAGGCCGCTAACGGCAGAGGACAACGCTCCAGTCCTCGACCCTGAGCAGCGATTATTACCATGGAAGCTTCTATCCCGAAAGCCAAGCCTGCCTCCTCGGCCCAATCGACGCCCCCCACCGCCGAGCCCCTAACCACTCGCTCCCCGGCAAACGGTGGAGCCCGAGTCGCCTGGAAGTTTCCACAGTACTCGCCCTCCCACACTGGCAAATGCGTTCAGAGAGACCCTGCCCGGTGGGCAGCCACCGTCGTCCCGCCCAGCCTGGCCCAACCAAAGCCCCTTAGGAGCCCCCGCCCTTGGGTGCCAAGGGGTGGGAGACGCCTGGGCCAGACCCCACACCCCATGGGAGGCCGAAGATGGGGCCTCAGGCAGCCTGGAAACTTAGGCAGCTCTCACCCTCCACACCAGATCAGAGCGGTTGAAGCCGAGCAGCGCCTCACGACCCACCTGTCCAACGGACGCCGAAGATATGACCGTTGGGTGGGGCAGATGGGCGGGACCAACAAAACCACCTACTGATTGGCCAGCTCCTCCGCCCAGAGCATGCTGGGAGTTGTAGTCCCAGGCCAGGCCTCAGCACAGAGAAGATTCTAGATGCCAGGCTGCAAGTGACTCACGCTGCCACGTGCGCCGAGACCACGCTGGCAGCTCCTGTTTCCTCTGTGCCAGGCACTGTACTTGGTGCTCTGCAAGCCTTGTCTGCCTTTAGTTAGTGTGGTATGGCCATGGGGTAAAGGCCAGACTTTGGAACTGCTTGGGTTTGAATCCTGATCTGTTGCTTGTTTAGTTGTCATGTGAAATGATAACTACTGCCTCCCAGTGTTACTTTGAGGGTTAAGTGAGATAATGCATCGAGGTGCTTGGCAGATGATAAGTGCTCCGTAAATGTTAGCTATTATTATCCCTATATAGTTTTACAGATGAGTAAGGAGATGAGTTGAGAGATGTACAGTCGTTTCTTGCCAAGTGGGGAAGCTGGGATTCAAGCCATCTTTTCTCCATTCAAAGCAGAATCTCCGCCACCACAGCCTTTGGGGCTGGCTCAAAGTCTTCTCTTGGAACCCCGGGGAGTTGGGCTGAGGCCTCAGCAGAAGGTGCTACTCAGCAAGTCTTTGTGTTTTCTCTTTGCCTCCCCTGGAGCAAACACCAGCCTCTGGAACCATTGCCTTTCTGACAATCCACATCACGGTGCTGATCATTTTATGTCCAAGTTCCTTCACTTTAACACTGTAGAACTCAACTGACGCAGTTATATGGATAAGGAGACACATAGGTGAACTGAACTTCAGGCCTAATGATAGCTAGCTATGTGATTTTGAAAAAGTGTGTCTTCCCATTTCTGAGCCTTAGTTTCCTTTTCTGTTTTCTTATGAGAGGGATAGGCCAAACCAGGATTTCCTAATTTTCATTTATTGTTGGGCCACTGTTATGGTTGCATGCTATAACAATGTACCACTCATAGTTTTATTACCTTTATATTTTAAATTTACTTCTTTTAAAATTTAAATTTACTTAAAAATCTTTGTCACCAATGAAATGGAATAAAACATAAACAGAAAGTAATTGGAAAAATAAAGACAATGAAAATAAGAGATATCTTTAATCATTTAGATACGCTTGTACCCCGACACAGTGATTCTTTAGCCTTTGTGAAATGGGTTCTTATCTAGTGTTAGGGAAAATAAGTTCTTATCAAGTGTTAGGGAAATGTTAAAGACAGTCTAGCACAAATTGAGACTTTCTTCTTGATATAATCAGAATGATTGAAAGAATTGCAAGGGGAATAACTCTCACTGTGTGAATACATGTTATCTAATGCCTGTGTGCAACATAAAAACATCACTTATATCACGCAGTGGGACATACCCTATGCTTTGTGGAATCCAGGATTAGATATTCTCTAATAATCCTTCACTTTCTAAGACACCTTAATTCTCAATGTGATATATGTGCCTTTCAAACTTCCTGATTTAACCCTACCCAACACCACAGTTTCATACTAGTCTCTCTGCCAATGCTTTCTTCACTTAACTTTGAAATTTGAATACTTGCCAGTGTCTTATTTCTGTTTTGTGTGCTGAGTACTTTTCATCTAATTATCTGAGTGATGAGTAAGGGGTCAAAAGAGGCACAGAAGATCAGGGAACAAACATTCTTTGCGCACTCACTATGTATCATGCATTATGTTAAGAGCTTTAATATACTGACAACTGTCTAAAGTAGTTGTCATCCTGGTTATACAAAAGAAGTGTTTAAGCTCAGAGTGCTTAGTCCCTGCTCTGGGATGCAAGGCCAAGAAAGGGTAGAGTCCAGATTCCCATCGTTTCTGTGTGATTTGGGGTTCCTCCGTTCTTTCCTCTGTATAACAGCATCTTCTAGATCAGAGTATCATTGGCTATGGCCTGAATTGGGTCCCCTTCAAACTCAGTTGTTGAAATCCTAACCCCCAGGACTTCAGAATGTGAATGCACTTGGAGATAGGGACTTTAAAAATGTGATTATGCTAAAATGGGGGAATGAGGGTAAGCCCTAATCCAATCTCACTGTTCTTATAAGAGGAGGAAATTTGGACACACAGAGGGTCTTTAGAGTTGTGCAAACACAGAATAAAGACCATGTGAGGACATAATGAGAAGGTGGCCTTCTGTAAGCCAAGGAGAGAGACCTCAGGACAAGACAGTCTTGCAATATTTCTATTGTTTAAACCACCCTATCTGTGGTATTTTGTTATGGTAGCCCTAGCTGACTAATACATCATTTCTTGAAATAGTAACTGTATATTATGGCTCCCAAATATTTTGGGTTTCATAGATCATTGAACTTAAACATACATGTAATAATGCAGGCAAAAGTATACAAATGTGGGGAGACCAACATAGGGTAAGCAACATTCACTTCCTGGATCAAAGACACTAACAATATAAAACAAAACAAAAAGAACTGGCATCACTATATTATAAAAACAGGGATGATTTAACATCAAAACAGAAAAAAGAAAATAAAAGGAAGGAGACAGCATTAAGATTGAAGAGCTTGAAAACCAAGTGATGATGGGTTGAGGATGGAGGCTGCTGGGTAGGATGGGATGTCCTATTGTCCCAAACACACTGAATCCAGTTTGGGATCATCAAGTGTTTGCAGGAAATGTCACTGTTCCACTCCCTGTGGGTTAGGATCCTCCTTGTAGGACTCATAGGACTTTTGGTAACATCTAGAGGCCTTTGCCCGTCCAGAATGCTGATAACTTCTTATGAATAAATTCAAACTACTGTCATTTGGACTAGACCATCATTAAGCTGTTAATTATTCACAGAGAAAAATCAACTTTGTGGTTCTTTTAAATAAATATTGTAAGAGGAAAAAAGAGATTAAAAGCTCCAAAAAAGACAGATTTAATCACAATGATGACTACTTACTGTAGTGTTTTCTTCTTTAAGTAACTGTAGATTCTATCTTTTTGTTTTTTTCCTAAGAAAATTAAACTTTAAAAGGATGGTTTTCTATTTAAAGCTTGAGGCCCTAAAAAAAATCTGTCTTCCTTAATAAGTTTGCATTACAAACTTTGCTGAAACCCAATGAAGACTGCAATTGTTGATTCTAATGTTAATCAAATAAAAGAGATTAAAAAGCTAGTAAATATCCCCATAAAGAGAAAAGGTGCTGCCAGACAGCAAGGTAATTAAGTCAGTATGAGTACCTCAGTTGGTTTTACTGCAAATTCTTGACATAAAATCTTCATTTCCAGGAAAACAAATTGAGTCAATTATCTCACTACTTCTACCAGATCTCAGGGCTCCCATTTCCCTCCTCTGTCCTTCATTATCAATAAAAAGTGCTGAACTCTGCGTCTAGGGACTGGCTTCCTACTGGAGCATCAACTCTCTTCTAAAAGTGACTTTACAACCCCTGTGTATACAAATTTAGAAGGTGGCAACTCGAGCATCTGGGAGGCATGATTAGGAAATCCTCAAGATTAAGGAAGTTCTTGTGTACCCAAACAACCAATGCTTTCTCCATGATCAATCACATAATGGAAGCAAGAAGAAAGCAGATGCCTTCTGCCACCATGGTGGGAAGTGGAAACTGGATTCCCTGCTCACTGTCTTCTGAAAGTAGCTGATGTTACATTCAACAGAGGTAATTTTCTCTTTCTCCAGGAGAAACACTTCTGAGACACAGGAAGTTGTTATTAATGAAAATCCACATTACTCTTAGGTTAACTGAAGTGTTTTCACTTTGAACTAAGAAACTACAGTTCTGCACCATTTTCTTCTAAACAAGTTTGCCAGAAGTAATACAGGACACCTAATTAAATTCAAATTTTAGAGAAACAACAGATACTTTTGTAGTATAAGTATGTGCTGAATGTTGTATGGCATTCACGTAGACTCAAAGTGTATTTGTTGTTTATCTGCAATTCAAATTTTTCAACTGGAAATCTTGTATTTTTATTTGCTAAATCTGGCAACTCTCTACCCAAAACACTTCAACCAAGAAAAAGAAATGCAAACAGTGTGAAGCCTTGCAGATTCAGTAGGTATGAAAGCCAAGATAATGTTGAAGCTTTCCACTGTGATGTCCAAAATAATAAAACAGATAGACTTACTGTGCCAGGATTTGTCTTTCCTCTTTCTTCAGCATCCCCGTCATGCAAGAGAGAAGCTAGGATTTTGAGAAAGCAGATGGACAGAAGCTGACAATATTCAACATGACACTGTGTTTTGACAGTTGCTTGCAATGGCTTTTTGTCTGAAAACTCTTCCTGCTTGGCTTTTTAGAAGGTGCCTTCATCCAGCAAGGCATATTCATGATACAAGTTGTGTTTTTTTTCAGAGATCCACCAATCAGAGAATACCAGTCTCTGTTCCAAAATAAAAAAATGTTTCTAATTCTATGTCAGCTGTCCATTCCCCAGAGACACCTCCTCCATTTATTAAAGGCATAGATCCTTGTCAGATGTCATTTCCCACTGGCTGGAGCCCCCACTGCCATGCTGAGCCCTCATCAGTGGCTAGGCAGTGAGGAATAAGTGTCTTTATCAGAAGACATTACATTCTTGAAGTCAATTCCAATAGCATGTAAGTGTGTACTCATCTTTTGTAATGAACAAAGAAGAATGTGTGCATAAAAGCAAGTTTGGGAGAATATCTACCCAAATGTTTACAATGATTATTAATGTTAATAATGATGAGACTTAAGGGTAATTTTCTTGGAATGAAGGGGAGACACTTTAGACTACTGGGACTCACCCACCTTCCCCCTGGCTACCATGGGGCGGTCTCTCTCTTAAAAGCTGTGGTGTGACTTCTGCTGTCAGAGCTTTGCTGAGAGTTTGTTTATTTTGCCCAGCTATAATTTTAATCCCACCCCCTTCTCTATATTTCAAACTCTCAGGTTATTTCTCAGCATGGTACTTTAAAACAATTTAAGGCAGAGCTTCTCAGACTCTGCAGTGCCCAACAATTACCTAGAAAGCTTGTGGAAATGCGGATTCTGGGACTCACCCCAGAGACTGATGTAGTAAATCTAAGGTTCCCTGAATCTGCATTTTTAATCCTCTCAGCCCCTTCCATTTTAACCTAGGTGGTCTGTTGACCATACTTTGAGAAATGCTGGATGACAGCCTTAATGGGCATCTTCTACAAGTCTTAAAAGGACTGCAATTAAAATTTATTTTGGTTACTGATGTCAGAATTCAGTTGAGTTTCATTTTTCCTTAAATATTTATATACTTTGAGTCATAAATAAAAAAACACTTAATTAGAGAGGGAAATGTTTGGGGGTGGAAGGCTTCCCAGCACAGCAGGAAACAGAGATACATTGTCTGCTTCATTCTCTGAAGGGGGAAGGAGATGGGCATTCCAGCTTTGAGTTCTTTCTAATTTAGGTCTTTATCTCTTCTGTTTCCTAGTCTTTTTTGTTGTTGTTGTTCCTAGTTTCACCTCCCATCATAATGGAAAGTCTAGTTCTAAGATCTGAGGTGTCAATGATTTTTAAAATATTGACATATTTATTTGTATATTTCCATACTCAAAACTCTTCTTCTACCCCTGCTTCCATTGCCCTGGTCCCACATGTGCTGTTTGTAAGAGCATCCTTCCTGGTCTGCCACCTCTTCTCTTGTCCCTGTGAGCTACTCCATATGCACAGTTGGAGGAGTTCTGTAAAATGTAAATTGGATCATGTCCTTCCTTTGCTTAAAAGCCCTCCAGGTTTTTCCTACAGTACTTGGAATATACACCAGACTCCTGGCCCTGGTCTGTAAGGCCCCACAGCTCCAGACTCCCCAGGATCCCCTTTCAGTCCTGGCATGTGCCCATGCTGTTTTATGCTTGTTTCCTTCTGAGCCACCCATATTGGCTCCTTGTTATGCTTTAGGGTTCAGAGAGGTGGTACTCTAACCACCCCACTCTCTATCCCAGCCTCTTTTTTGTTTCCATGCAATGCTTGATATAATTTGCAATGTTTTTTATTTCTGTTTCTGTTTACTTTTTGTTTATGGCCTGTCTCTTTCACTATCATATGCCTCTTTCAAGGGCATGAACTGATGGTCTTCTTCAACATTATTTACCCTGTGCCAAGCACAGTTCCAGGCACACAGTAAACACTCCATATATCCTTGTTCAGTAGCTGAATGAATGCATTGGCCTCTCTTATAGTGGTATCCAGGACCGTTGGAGTAACCAAGATGTGAATTACCCTCTGACCTTCCCTAGCCTCTCAGCAAAGCTCTGACAACAGAAGCAAAATCATGGCTTTTAAGAAAGAGACAGCCCCCGATGGTGGCCAGGGAGAAGGCGGGTGAGCCCCAGTAGTCTAAAGTGTCTCCCCTTCATTCCGTCTGCTTTCTGATTCTAGGGCACAGACCAAAGATCCAACAGAGCAATGGCAAGCAGACTCACCACTGTCTCTGAAGGCCACAGCAGGTCCAAAGACTTCAAAACAGCTTGTGTGGGAGGGATTACAAAACCCTGGTCTCTGATAAAAGACCATCTCAATCGTGCATCATCATTTGAATAAAAATCAAATAACTTAGGATCTGTCCAAAATGAAGGATGTTTTAATACTTTGTGTGTAAAAATACTGATATTTTGCTTCTTTTTTATTAAACAGATTTTATTATTTTTCAGAATCTTGTCAGTATAATCGTTTTATGGGTGGATGAAATATTCAGCCCTGCTGCTGCAGGAGTTCTTTCACAGCAATTACCTTGTGGCACTTTTGCTGTAATTAGGTTTTCGCCTAGGATTTTTCTCTAGGTCTGTGTAATAAATGAAATATGACCAGAATTTAAATTTGTCAATTACAAGCAAGCAAAGTGCGTAAACATACAACAGAGCTGTGAATTCCAAACCACAGACTGTTTGCTGGGGGGCAGATGCTCTGGAAATTAAAATGGAAATAAAACCACTGACTGGCAATCCAAAAGTGGCCCCCAAAGAAAGCACATCTCCCCTAACACTGGCTCAGGATTCTACCCAACAGTGTGAGCGCTTGATTACAAATTCTTCAGTGTGAAACTGACAACTCAAGGAGCAAGAAGTGAATTTGCGTTCAAATAATCTACCCAGGGCTCTGATCTCCTGCTTTGCTTTACAAATTTCTGGTTCTTGAGGCCAGATCAAAAGGTTTTTGGACACGATGGGCCAGAATTCCAGAGCACTCTGCAGCCTGGTAGTGATGCTCTTTTTGAGCTGCCCAAGGACTGGCAGAGATTTGGGGACAGGATCTGCTCCCTCTCCCAGCAGCTGCTGTTTTCACTGACCTGACTTCAATAATTGCTCCTGTGGGGCCCTCTGCTGACCATCCTTTGTACAAGGGACTTCAAGTCATCTGTTTCTTTAAAACAACCACCAAACAAAAGCAGATTTTTTTGAACTTTTGTATATAAGAAGCCCTAGGCAGAGAAGAGGGAGCTCACATTTTTGTAAACCTACTGAGGGTCATGCATTTAATATTCATGCAACAAATCTTCCTTATCTCTTCTATGTCAGACACCATGCTAAGTTTTAGGCACATAGAGCCATGGAGTTCACGGTCTGGAGGAGGAGAAAGACTAGAACACACAGATCCCACAGATCCTTAATAAAGTGACAATTGGGGCAGATACTATCAAGAGTCATGTCACAGTGGAGGATGTGACATGGCTGGGACTGCTTTCAGGAAGGGCTTCCATGGGGAAGAGACACTTGGACCGAGATGAAAAGAATAGAAGGGCATGCCAGGTAGAGGGAACAGCATGTTCCAGGGCCCTGTGTTAGAAGGCAGTGTGGCAGACAAGAGAGCTTGAAAGAATGTCAGCAAGGAGGATCCCAGGGCACAGGGCCAGACAACATGTGTCAGTGGTGTCCAGGGATTAGGGTCTCTCTCCTGACACCTGTAGAAAGTCACTATAAAGTGTCTTAAACAGGTGAGGGATGAGAATGAGGGTGGCTGATATGCTCATATTTGTGGTTTGAAAAGATGACCCTGGCTTCATGATGGAGGACAGATTGAAGGGAGGCAAAAGTAGACCAAAGGAGTTCAGCTGGGAATACTGCAGAAGTCCATGGGGATGATAACAGTGCCTTGTCTAACATGGTGGCAGAAGAGATAGCAACAAGACTAGTATAGTGTTTGGGAGTAGAATCAACGTGGATTTGGTGATGGGTGACACATGGTGATGGAAGGATGGGGATGTTGAGCATGGCCTACGTGATCTCATTGAATTATGAGAGCCTTGCAAAACATTCATATTCCCATTTTACCCCTGAGGAAATTGAGGCTCAGAGAGACTTAGTGTTGGACTCAAGATCATTCAGCTGAGAAGTAGCTGACACATGCCTTCTACTCTGTGTTGTTTCTAAGGTCGCTTAGGGCAATGACTTAGGAACTTATCCCCTACATCTTATCCATGTGTCCCCTCCATTCCTGAGACTACCCCAAAACACGTACTGTGTTTGTTTTTCTGTCTGTCTATTCCACTAGACTGAGTTTGTTGAGGCCTGCAATTGGGTCTTCTTTTCTTCCATTCTGCCATTACTCAGTTCAGTGCCTGGCTCAAAAAGGACTTTCAGGATGGAACTAGAAGTTTCTAACAGCATTGTGTAGTTAAAAGAACACAGGCTTTGGGATCATGGGGCTCTGGATTTAAATCCTAGCTCCTCAATTAATCATCTGTGTGGCCCAGAATGACTTATCTCTCTTATGCTTCAGTGTCCTCATGAGTAAATGAGGGTAATTTGGGTACCTGCATTTACTTACTAGGGTCATTCTGAGGACTGCATTTGGTCACCAAGCAAAGGGCTTGGCACATGAATATATAAATTCCCTGACTTTGCAGAAAAGAAGGATAAGAAAATTCATGACTAGTCAAGAAAGTGAATGGGACTGGGACTTTCTCTCTCCTGGGCCTTAAAGTTCCTTTCACTTACTGATTCCTCTTCTTGTGGCTTATTCTATAATGAGAAAAGAGGAATTTGGCTCTCTGGGGGTCTTCGACAAGCTGACAGATGTCCCCTAAGGCAATTTTCAACAGAAAGCTCTTTTTATTATTATTATTATTCTTTGTGATTTACAGCATGCATCTACAAGCCTCTGGCACAATCGTGGAGAGCAGTAGAATTAATAAATTGGATCTGTTTCTTGCTTAATTCATGGCTCTGACAAAATTAAAAAATGGAGAGGGGTGGGATCGCTTAAGCAAACCAAGTATCCCAAAGCCTAGTTCTCAGGTGCAAGAGGC